ATGGCACCAAATCCCTGAAACTTGGAGACTTTGGTTTGGCAACAGTGGTAGAGGGACCGTTGTTCACCGTGTGTGGGACTCCTACGTACGTGGCTCCAGAGATCATAGCTGAGTCGGGGTAAGATGGATGTTTTGGCCCAGTTTTACTTGCTTTATCTTGGAAGATGCTCATGTGGCACTATATATTCAGCATTGTGCTTGTTGGTTGTATTGAAATTAAAATAAATAATTTATCATGTTTTTCTACATTTCTGTGATTCTTGGCAGGTATGGGCTAAAAGTGGACATCTGGGCTGCAGGTGTGATCACCTACATCCTCCTATGTGGCTTCCCCCCATTCAGAAGGTCGGTTTGTTGCTGTGGTCAGAGTTTTAGGTCATTAGTACCATTTATTCTACCACCCATGCATATAGGCCCCATAAGGATAGGCAAACCATATGGGTGCCAACAGGGTTTGTTCAGGTTTCCATGATTGTTCCACAGGCGTTTACCCACATATGTTTTAGCGTGCCCTACATGGGTTTCCAGAGGGACCCAGACGGTTTGACTCGTACATGGGCCCATTAAACTCTATGTGGGCAAACCTCTGTGGGGCCACCAGGGAAGCCGCGGACAAACCCTGTTGGCACACACACGGTTTGCCCATAGGAAGCTTGAGTTATTGTGTTGTGAATCCATTCTTAGAGTTGCTGCGAGGACTGAATCACAATCAGCTGTTTCTGTTTCTAAAGAAATACTTTCATTACTCTCAGAAAACACAAGAGCATTTTTCAGACTGTTGGCCCAGACAATCAGTTCTGTCCTTTGACCTTGTTTGGGAACCAAATTACAGTTTCTACTCAAGCTAGGTTTATTTTATTGGAGAGGTGTGAATCATGTTTGCTTTGTTACTTTTCTTTATTTGATGGACATTAATGTGTGCAGTAGTTAGTCTCTTAAACTATAACTTTTACAGTAGCCACAGTCTCAAAGATAGGGTTATAAAAATCCATTAATTTCAGTAATCTTATAAGGTGAAACTAATATGCGACAGACTCTTCACATGCAAAGCCAATCCTATATATGATTCTGGCTTACAGCTTATGAAAACCCCAAATTCTAAATCTCAGAAAACCTGAATATTGTGAAAAGATTCAATAGTCTAGACTCAACGTTTCCCACTCGGATCAGCTAATGAATCCAAAACACCCGCAAAGTGGCTCACCAGTTGTGGTTGAAGATCTGCACACTAACATTTATACTGGCCCGAAAACAAACACGCATGCACGCACACACGTCTTTCTATCTTAGTGAGGACCATCTTAGTGACTTCCATTCATTTTTGTGACTGTATTATGCCTAACCCCAACCCATACTAACCTTAACCCAAACTAGAAGTTCATTCACAACATACCTTTAAAACTAAGTCTCAGGTTTCTTTGTCATTGTGTGGACCAGGCAAGCATCCCACAATTTCAAAACATCTCCATGTTGCTGACTAAACATGGAAGAAATGTTCCTAAAATGTAGTAAGAAATTGGCTGCATGTATGGATGATGTGAAGGGCTGGCAGGCATCCAACTTCTTAAAACTGAACGAAAAGAAGTCTGAGTTTATTGTTTTAGACCCCCGCAACCACCATGGCTCTCACCCTGTTTGTGACCTTTTAACCCTTAACCCCAAACAGTGTGCGACGAGTCTCGGGGTCAAGCTGGATGCTGGACTCACAATGGCCCCACAGATAAACTCCGTAGTGAGGTCTTGTTTTTCTCAGCTTTGCCACCTTAAGCCTGGTTTATGCTTCTCCGTCAGCTCCGCAAGGGACAGACACGCACGGACTGACGGAAGCGTTTTGCTCTTTTACTTCTCCGTCTCCTGGAGAGCGTTGCAAAGCAATTGCCCTGCAGGACAACAGAGGGCGTAGCGCTGTTCTGTGGTATCCTGTCATGTATCGGTCCAAGATCGTGTGTTTATATTGTGTTTTTTGTGTATATAAGAGACTTTTAACACGGACATATTTGTCTCTCATTCTCCCACCCCTTCATGCGCTTCCCACCTCTAAACCCACGTTTCCTTCATTTCGGTCCACAAATAAAATGCTTGCTGCGCATCTTTTCACTCCTCCAGTCACGGGAGAATTAAACGTTCATATTTTTAGAGTTTTTTCGCGAGGTATTCTTCAAGCTTCTCCGTGTCTGCCGCTAGTTATCCTCGGCTCTCTTTGCAATGGCGGCGCTTTAAACAACAGCGGCATCTTGACCAATCACAAGCTTGCGTAATCCGTCTTGTTTGACGGATGTTTAAAAAAGTGGGCTCGACTCCGTACGTACTTGCGTGCCCTACGCAAGGACGGATAATGGCGTTGCGTGTCTCCGCACTGACGCAGACGGAGAAGCATAAATCAGGCTTAACTCACCTCAGACGAATCCTGAAACGGAGGCATTTGGAGTCAGTCATTCATGCCTTCATTACCTCTCGCCTGGACTATGCAAATGCCCTCCTCGTTGGTGTTCCGGTCTCTGCCCTGAATCGGCTGCAGGTTGTTCAGAACACTGCTGCCAGGTTCTTGACGGATACACACCGACGTAGCCACATTACCCCTGTCCTGGCAAATCTTCACTGGCTCCCTGTCATTTTCAGAGTGCAGTTTGTTACTGACTTTTGTTTTTAAAGCACTCAATGACCTGGCACCTCCCTACCTCACGGCCCTTCTCACTCCTTATGTGCCCACGTGCACGTTGAGGTCGACTGACCTTTTGCTGCTGTACACGCCGCGGATGAGACTTAAATCGCGGGGGGATCGAGCATTTGTCCATGCTGCCCCAAAGCTATGGAACTCATTGCCCATTGGAGTTCGGCAGGCTCCATCTCTGGCGGTTTTAAAATCTCGTTTAAAGACCCACTTTTACACTTTGGCTTTTAGACAGTGACTCGTTTTAGTGTTTTATTGTATCATTGTTTTAATGTGTTCTTAGTATTCATCATGGTTTATCTGCCTTTGATTGAGATTTTTATCCTTTGTTTTAGCTCCTTGTAATGGTTGTGTTTTGTTTTAGCCTGTGCAGCACTTTGGGAAACTCCCATGCTGCATTTTAAACGTGCTATATAAATAAACTATGCTATGCTAGTACAAAATACACAAACTAGTTCATTTTCACTGTTTGAATGAACAGATCTTAATAAATTAGGTGAACCCTGAGAAATACTACAGCAGATTTGGAAATCCGCTCTCAGTTCAGCAGCAAAGGATTCACCAATATATCCTGAAATTTTCTTTTGTTTCTTTTTCTTTGGATCCAGTGAGAATAATATACAAGAGGACCTGTTTGATCAGATTCTTCTGGGGCAGTTGGACTTTCCCAGTCCTTATTGGGACAGCATCACTGACTCAGCTAAGGTTTGGCTTAGAGACACAGAACACACACCAGCTTTAATTACTGTACTATCCATCTCCCTATTTATTCAAGCAACTGTTATGTGGTCTAATCTTTGTGCTACATTGATGGACAAAACCAGTAATTCAAGCACACACTCCTTTAGTCACTGATGTCTGGTGGGGAACCAAACGGCTCATTAAGGAATGGTTCTGTCACTGGAAAAAGTGCAGGGAGCTGCAGTAGCGGGTATAACTGGTTTAATACTGTTGTATACTTTATACCATGCAGGTGAGCTTGTAAAGACACTTGGTGCAGAAATGGTCATTATTTGTTTTGATTTGAACTTAACTATCTGTCCAGTTAAATTCAACAAATTTGCATACTCTGTTCGATTTTGTTGAACAGTTTTCCAATGAAGATTTCATTGATTGAGGACAAATTTACCCAAACTAACCTGTAAACTAATTTAACTGTAATTAATCCCATTATTTTGAAAGCTGAGTTCAGTTTCACTAACCACCCCCAGGACTGAGTTTTTATCTCAGAAAGCAACACATGACGCTCCGTTATCAAGAAACTCATGAACCCAAAGACCCAAAGCCACATCTAACATCCCCCCAAGCCTCGCTCGCTTTGGTCAGAAGTTATTGTTCAACAGTTTGAAAAAGTCAGGGCAGATTAGCATCCTGGGAGATTTCAAAGGTCTAAACCTCTGCTGACTAAAAAGACCACAATTAGCCCTGTTATGGAATTTTTCACCTGAACGTATGAGACACACAATAAAAGAGACAGTCTGTCTTTTGTCTTATTTATTCATTTATTTCCTGAGGCAAAAAACACGTTTGGGTCTCACTCTATGAATAGGTCCCAGAAATTTTCCCAGAGTTCAGCATACATGCAGCTATATAGTTCAACACACGCACACACACACACACACACACACACACACACACACACACACACACACACACACACACACACACACACACACACACACACACACACACACACTGACAAAACAAAACACAAGAACCGCCCTACCTCTGGCCACTCCACCTATCCTTACGCCTCTGCTTTCTAGGAGCTGGCAGACATAATTCACAAGCACAAAAAGTCACATGTATGATATAAAAATTCCCATCACAGCACAAAATCAAATCTCAGGGAGCTCCAAGACTTGAGGGTTAAGTTGTCTGACAAGTGAAAAATGAAGTTGTGTGTCCCGTTCCATCTGGATTCAGAAACAACCACAAGTCAAACACAGTGGTGGTAGTGCGATGGTTTGGAGCTGCTTTGCTGCTTCAGAACCTAAACGACTCACTGTAATTAGTGCAACCCCAGAATTCCTCTCTTTACCTGAAAACCCTGAAGGATATTGTCCGACCTTTACGTTCAAACGGCCGTTGGTGCAGGAAATATTTAATTAATTACAAATCAGCAGAAAAGGGAAAAAAACGGTGGTAAAACCGTGTGGAAGTGTATAATTATAAAGTCAGTGTGAAGGATTTTTAGTTGCTGAGCTTTGTTTTGTTTCAGGAACTGATCCTAAAGATGCTGCTGGTCAACGCCGAGGCTCGCTACTCAGCACAAGACGTCCTCTCACACCCATGGGTCACAGTACGTTTTAACGGAGTGTCAAAGACTTGGTAAATGAACTGTTTCTTGTTTGTAAATGATCCATACTCACAGGCTGATGCAGTCATGGAGAACAACATGAAGATGGAGGTTTCATTTACCCTGAAGACTCACTTCAACACTTCAACAACAAAGCACAACAACACTACAGCTGGGGTGTCTGTCATCATGGTGAGCTCCTCAAATGTATTCAGGATCTTTTCATTTTTGATTCATGGGTTTACTGCAGTACTTAGTGCGACATCTTACAGCCGTATTGAAGTTTTGACATGGGTTTAATCAGAAGTGACATGCTGCCTGAGCAGGATGATGAGGATGGTGAATGTTTGACCCAAATACACAAGACTGAATTGTGCTAAATTCACTTCGTTTTTGTACAGATCGACTTCAGCCTTCATCATCCAATCAGGCATTAGTAGTAAATATTAGAAAACCTGTAATGCTGTTAATATGTCAGAAAATGTTTTAAAGATTTCAAGTGAAAACCGCAGCTCTGCAGGCCAGACGTCCGAGAAGTCATCCCTCTTTCCTCACTGCATGCACCATTTCCTGTTGTTTTCCTCTCCTTCAGGCTCGTCCTCATGCTTCCGTTTGTCTGATGTGTGATTAGAAAAGCATTATCTGCATTTTAAAGTTTAAGTTTGTTGCTTTTCTGGATGTAAAGAGCCTCATTTTGTTGTAAATCTCATTTGACAGTTTGAGGCGTAAATGTGGGTCGTGGTTTCAGCTCCTCCCTCATCCATCCTCTCCTTCATATTCTCCTCCTCTCATCCTCACCCCTCCCTCACACCTGACCCAGGACCACAGGGGATGCCTGCAGCTGAGAGCCTGGTACACGCTTTACCTCCCTCCCCCTAACTCCAGTCTTCCTCTGCAGCCATCACCCTTCCCCTTGCACACGTCTCTCCCTCCCTTTCCCTTCCTTCCTGTGACATTCTTAGTCCCCTCACTCGCCCACTCAACCATTAGCAGCCAGCTCACCATATCTCACTAACAATCTGTGCTTGTTTTACATTTGTGGCCTAGTGGTAGAGTGTCCGCCCTGAGACTGGGAGATCAGGGTTCGATTCCTGGTCGGGTCATACCAAAGACTTTGAAAAAAATGGGACCCAATGCCTCCCTGCTTGACACTCAGCATTAAGGGGTTGGATTGGGGGGTAAAACCACCAAATGGTTCCCGAGCGTGGCTGTGTCTGCAGCTCACCGCTCCCCCAGGGGATGGGTCAAATGCAGAGAACAAATGTCGCACACACATCAGTGTGTGTGACAACTAATGGGACTTTAACTTTCACTTTAATTTCTACTCTGCTCCATCACCCACCTTAGTACTGACCACAAAGATTTAAGGGAATCAAGATTTATTTTTTTGGTTTAGTCATGTTGCTTTAAGGTTACAGCATGTTCCCACTAATGATGCAACCTGAATTTCATTGCCTCCTGCTCTGTATTTTTAATGTTTTGTGGTCAATTGAAATTAGAACAACTTTTGGTTCCAAAAAGCATTTGAAATCTGAGGTTCTACTGCCACCTTGTGGTGATATGTAAGAACTGCATCAATGCTGCTCAGCTGTCCAGAGTTGGAGGCAAAGCTGCTATGAGTATTTTCCTTCTGGATTTCTGTAATGATACTAATTCATTTTTCTGTATTTTCTCTACTCAGAAAATGTATTAAAAGGATAATGAAACTTATTAAAAAAAATCTCTTTTAAAGGGAGACTAGGCAGTTTGGGCTTGCTTTTAGCACCCCCTACTGTCCGTTTGTATAACCAAAAGCAAAACTTCTCTCCTCCTTGTGCGTTTGTCTTTTTAACACATTAATCTAACAGCTGAAATGTCTCCCAGCCTTCCTTAGTGTCTAGAGGAGTGATTCATCACTAAATTAAACAAATCAGCTGTGTTTATGATCTAAAGCATGCAGGAAACACGCTAAAAGTAGACTGCAGTGCTAGGTATGTCAGCTTAACTTTTTTCAACTCTGAAGTTACAAGTGGAATATTCTGGTCACAGGGGGCGATAGGGGCAGGGCAGTCTGTCGTTAAACCTGTAAAGGGTCATTTTAGCGCACACTGGCTCAAGAAACTGCTTTAAAATAATGAAAAAATTGCTAAGTAAATGAGTCCGTGGTATACGGTAGATGTTCTAAATAAAATTCTGCGGCAGGCTATATGTTAAAATTTGTAGAATTAGATTAAAGATGTGATCTGGTTAGTGTAACATATTTTAAAATAGGGAGTCTACTTCACGAGAATTATGGGGGAGCTAAGGGGAGTCCGGCTTCCCTTAAAGGGTGATGGGCTCCCTTGGAAGTTTTCAACTGACATACCCAGGGGGAGTCTGAAAAAAGATCCTGTTCCTACCTATATTACATTATTTGTGTGGACTCTTAGTGGACCCGGACAAGCGGAGAGGACGGAGTGCAGCATAGCAGCTGCTGATTGTGCACACCAGGCAGCTGCACCCTGCACACGGGCCACAGTAACAAATAAATGAATAACTAAATAAAAGATCCTTTTGATCTGCTTAGTTCAAAAGGATCTCATTGGGTGAAAAAGGAGGAATCCTGGCAGCAGGTTTTCTGGAGGACAGAGAGGAGAAAACTTTTTCAAACTGCACAAACGGACCAGTGGGAAATGAAAGAAGAAGTTGTCCATCAGAATTCACTGATTGCTTATTTCCTGATTTCTGCCCAAGTCTTACTGTGACTGGTTCATATTGAGATAATGGTCCACAGGTCGGAGACATTTTCTCCATTTATTGCCATGCAGAAGATGATGAAAATCATCAGAACATTTAATCATGGACACTCAAAGTATTTTTTTTATAGATGGCTTCTTTTTTTCTTTCTCCAGAACACAGCTCTCGATAAGGAGACCCTTCAGCTTACCTCTCGTTGCTGTTCAGGACAACAGTTGGCCGCTGAAGTTCCATCTGCTCTCTCAAACAAACCAGCGAAGAAGACGTCATGTACCAAAGCGTTTCCTACCATGAACGTTTCTCCTGAGACGTCTGGGACAGCTGCCGAGACCGAAGCTACATCTGAACCTCCTGCCTGTTTGCTGCAGCATCCTCTATCACCCTCTGCTGACATTTTACCCATTTTATCACCTGCTGAGAAAAATCCGCCCACATCTCCACTTTCAGCACCTCCGTGTTTATCTTTAGACCCTTCCTCACCCGCTGGCCCTCCTTCTCATCCATTTCTTTCTTCACCTCTTCCATTACTTTTTCCATCATCTCCTAACAAACCAGCCACAAACCCCTCTTCCTCCCCCTCCCCTCTCTCTCCCATCCAGCCTGTTGTATTTTTCCCCTTATCAACCAAGCAAGAGCCCTCTTCCCCCTCTTTTATCCATCCCACCTTGTTTCCTTCTCCTCCTTCCACACCTCCACCTCGTCCTCCATCTCTTAGCCCCCTCTTGTCTGAGAAATGTCTGAAATGAAAGCTCAGATGGGATGAAGAGTTTAAACTATCACATTGTGTATTTCTTAGTCACAAACTGGAGTGGTGACGGCTGTAGCTGCAGGTTTTCTGCTCAGTTTTCCCCTTTTATCTGTGAAAATGAGGTGTGTTAATGTCTACAAGTTTTTATTTATTAGCGGGTCATGAAGGAAAGAGTAAATTTATTACCACTGTCCTGAGATTGTTTATTTCTTTTTGTGAAGTGATCTATTACTGTATGACACTCATGTGAATTTTGCATCCCATTCTTTCTGCCTGTGGCCCTATTTGTAAATAATCCTTACACACCCAAAAATTAGCTTTTGTTGCTTTAGAAAAGGAAGTACCGTAATGTCCCTAATAGAACTCCTGCAGGTCGAACTGAAACTCGACTTTTTTTAGATATGCTGTGGAAGGGCAGATTTGTGCCCTTTGGTTATAGTATCAAGTATTTAATAAAGTGCTGCAAACTCTCTCAGCTCCATATCTCTATTTGTAGAAACATGTGCACGCTAAAAAGCTCCAGTCTTGCTAAAGTTTTTTTGTGTCCACCTGCATTTACTCACATTTTACTTTCAGTTGCTCATGAAAAACAGTGTTATGTTCACTTATAGTGATTATTTTAGCCAAACACCTACAATTTATTTCTGAATCAGAAGGGTTATATTGCCATATGTGCCAGAATCACAACATTAGGAAATTGCTGCAGTATTTGGTGCAAGAAAAAAAAAAGATGAGCAAAATTAGAATTAAGAAATTAACACAATGAAATGATCATATTATAGAGAATCAATAATTAGAGAAGCAGCTACTTTATACAAGTTAGTGTAAGTAGTGGTCGGAGCGGATCAGTTCAGGTGCAAACACAACACTAGGGTCCTGTGACTGAAACAATATGAAGCGACATGAGTCCACCATCGTGATGGGAGTGTCAGACAGGGTTATGGGGGGAGGAGGGCTGTGTGGGTTTCCTAAAGTTCACAACGACCTCAGCTATCTTCCGTGCATTTAGCACCAGGTTTTTGTGGTTGCACCAGAACACCAGCCATTTGACCTCCATTCTGTAGGCAGACTCATGCCCATCAGAGATGAGTCTGATGACGGCGGTGTCATCTGCAAACTTGATAAGTTGGACAGACTCGTGGTTGGATGTCCAGCCGTTGGTGCAGAGGCGGTTTTACCATTAGGCATAGGTAGGCGGCCGCCTGGGGCCCCCTAGTGGTGGGGGGCCTCCTAGCCCTGACCGCCGGCACCCCTCTGTTAATGCCACAATATTCTTATTACCAACCTGTGGCCGCAGATGGGATTGGACAAGCGCACTTCTAATTACCATAATTCCTGAACCGTTCAAGATATCATTAAAATTCCAAAAGTGCTGAAAAGATTAAAAATGGGGCTTTTCGTGCATATACAGTACATTACGGTAGCCACCGGGATTCCCTGTCTTGAGCGCAACAAATCACAACACAGATTCAGAGACGTGCTGAGTTTGTCATCCAAAATGCTCCGTTTTATAACTTTTGAACGGCGGATCAGATTCAAATAATTCCAACGGTTCCTAAAAGTACATAAAAGCAGCTTTCCAACGATCTATAGCATGAAGCAATCAGAGTTATGGAAAATATCGCTACGAGGGGAAATCCTGCTGTACAGCCTGATTGAAACAGAGCGCAGCGCCGCGGTGAAAGCGGATAACGGAACGGGGAAGCTAATTAGCATAAAAAGCCAGCATGAAATTATGGAAATGCCTCAAAGAAAATCAACACGATCTATTAGGTGTCCCAGAAGGCTTATATCTGAAGTCAGTGACCACGAAGAAAGACAGATCTCCAGTGAAACAGGATATGAATGTTTGTTCAGTCTTTATTTTTTATTTTTTTATTTTAACAACCCTCAACTATTTGCTAATTGTAAGATTCAGCTTCATTCCAGCATTGTTTATCTTTTTACCATAAATAATTATTTTTGCTAAAACAAAAGTTTTTGGTATAGCAGTGCACGGCGTGCAAGAGAAGCACCCCATGGCAGTGTGAGGTGTGACTCTGCCTGCAACTGGAGAGAAACTGCTTCAAGGTCTACCACATCAAATAAAAACGTCTGAAAGTTAACAATACTAAATGGTCTTAAAAACAGCTAAAAAAGATACCAAGGTTCAAACTTTTTAAAGAATAGATGCATTTCAGTTCAAAGTTTAAATTGTTTGCCCAGTAATTTTGAAGTTCCTGTTCAGTAAGAAATGTAAAAAAATTCAAATCCGTTTTTTGCTTTTTTCACTTTGAAGCTGATTTTTTAAAGGCTTTAATAGAAATAAATTCTAAATACAAACCAAACACTAAAAGCTGAGGTTGTTCTCAAAAAGGAGAGAGTTACACACACTTTGTACTTTTTATTACAATTTTACAGCCATAAGATTAAAAACATACCAGGCGGCCCTGTTATAATTTGGTCATAAGAGGGTTATTAAGACGGCGATGCACAAACAGGAAGTGATTGGTAGTCATTCCACTCCAATCCAGTTGGTGGTGGTAATGCACCAAATTGTTGTTTGCCAAGTGCCATAAGACCACAAATAAGAAGAATAAGAGAGGTGGGAGCGTTCGTAACAAACTCAAAGCAATAGTAAAACATGAAGCATGAAATGGAGTTTTCCTAGTGGCTCCAATAAGAGAAAGAAGCTGCTTGCTTCATAAAAGCTTTTATTTTCACTTCTGAAAGTGACGTCGTTTCTCAATGTAAACATCAAAAGGAGGCAGAGAGGAAAGACAATGGAAAATGTTTAAAGGGAGGAAAACATAAACCAAAATGGAAAATAGAAATAAAATAACAAAGGCAAAAGCAGGAGCACTGACAGGAAGAAGAAAGCACTCAAAGGGAGAGAAAAACAGGAAAAAAGAGGAGGACTAATAAAAAGTGAAAATAAATCGTGTCAGAAGAGGGTAGATTTTCGCAAATCCAGTTAAAGGTAAGATTGTCGAAAATTTAGTGTAAGAGGCCCCATGTCTGTGTTCGCCTTGGGCCCCCAAATTGCTAAATCCGCCCCTGCGTTGGTGTACAGGGAGAAGAGCAAAGGGGAGAGAACACAACCCTGAGGGGAACTGGGGCTGATGGTCCACAGGTCAGAGACATTTTCTCCATTTATTGCCATGTAGAAGATGATGAAAATCATCAGAATATTTAATCATGGACACTCAAAGTATTTTTTATCTTGTATTTTTCTGTGAATTTTTAATCCAGAATTGAATATTTCAATTAGTCCCTGCAGAAGCTGATGTCTTCAAGCGATCAGGGGTTGGATTGGCTTTTTTACACTCGGTGCATCTTTCAGAAAGAAACCACAACAAAATATTAAAGATAAACAAGAGGAAAAGCAACAACATTTTTAGTTGATTTTAAATTGTTGAGGACTAAAAAAAGTGCTTTAATTTTGACCTTAACAGGATCTGCTGTAGCTGGAAAAACTAAAATCAGTACAAGTTGTTTTCATTATAACAGTAATGCTTTACAATAAAATATTAAATTTTTAAAATGCAAATAAACATTTTATTTACTAGTATTTTGATTTGAATACAATTTTGCTTGGCAAGTGGAGGCAAAGGAACACAGCTTTGCAGAATGCATGACCACCTTCTGCAACAGAATGACGGCGTTAAGGCGTTTCCTGTTTCCTGTTTTCAGTGTTGCACTACGTGTAGCTGTTTGGTGTTTGAGGCTCGCTAAAGCTGATTTAATTTCTCTGTACTAGGATATCTCTGAGTTATTGTAGCACAAAAGCACGCTAAAACACACATTTTCTGTTATTCCACCTAGCTTTTAGGGAACCATTTGAGTTTGCACGCAGTTTATTTGGTACTGAACAGTTTGCTCGTCCAGTTAGCTTAGCCTCAGCACGGCTATGGCTACTTCTGTATCTGCTTCTCCGTCTCCTATCTCTTGCTCTCTGTGTCAGATGTTTAGTTACTCCTCTGCCTCCTTTAGTGATAATGGTACGTGTAATAAATGTAGCATTTTTGTAGCTTTGGAGGCGAGGGTGTCGGAATTGGAGTCCCGGCTCCGCGCTGTTGAAAAACCTGTAAACAGCCGTAGTTACTTAGCTAGCGCGGGGCTAACTAGCTCAGAACAACCACGTAGCGATCCTCCAGCAGAACCCGAGCAGCCGGGACCTCAGGCCGGCTGGGTGACGGTACGCAGGAAGCATGGAACCCAGCCCGTGGGCCACCACCAACCCGTCCACGTTTCTAATAGATTTTCCCCGCTCAGTGACGCACCCACTGATAAGCCGACTGTGATCATTGGCAGCTCCATAGTCAGAAACGTGGCATTAGAGACTCCAACAACCACAGTTAAATGTTTACCTGGGGCCAGAGCGGGCGACATTAAATCTTATCTGAAACTGCTGGCTAAGGATAAGCGTAAGTACAGTAAGACTGTTATTCATGCTGGCGGTAACGACATCCGGTTACGCCAATCGGAGGTCACTAAAATTAATGTTGCTTCGGTGTGTAAGTTTGCCAAAACAATGTCGGACTCCGTAATTTTCTCTGGCCCCCTGCCTGATTGGACCAGTGACGACATGTTTAGCCGCATGCTGTCCTTCAACCGCTGGTTGTCTAGGTGGTGTCCTGAAAACAACGTGGGCTACATTGATAATTGGAAAACTTTTTGGGGAAAACCTGGTCTGATGCGGAGAGACGGCATCCATCCCTCTTTGGATGGTGCAGCTCTTCTTTCTAGGAATATGGCCAGTTGTATTAGCCCTACATGACTACCCAGGGTCCAGACCAGGAAGCAGAGTCATAGTTTAACACACCCCTCTGCAGCTTCTGTACTGTTACCCACCCACTACCCCATAGAGACAGTGTCCTGCCCACGGCCAAAACTACACAGATTAAATATCAGGCTTAATAAAGCAAATCATGGAAATCTCATAAATATCAGAACAAATTCAACTGAGCAGAAAACTAGAAAAATTAAATGTGGGTTGTTGAACATTAGATCCATTTTTTCTAAGACTTTGTTAGTTAATGAGTTGATTTGTGATAATCAGATCTCTTTGCTCTCTCTCACAGAATCCTGGCTGCAGCAAGAGGACTATGTTAGCTTAAACGAGTCGACTCCTTCAAATTATTTAAATCATCATATTGCTCGAAGTACAGGGAGAGGAGGAGGAGTGGCAACCATTTTTCATTCGGACTTATTAATCAGTCCCTTACAGATTAATAGTTACAGTTCGTTTGAACATCTTATTCTTAGTTTTCCTAATCCAGATAGCAAAACTGTAAAACCACTCTTGTTTGTAGTTTTATATCGTCCACCAGGCCCTCACTCTGAGTATTTGGATCAGATCTCTGATTTTTTATCTGATTTGGTGCTAAATACTGATAAGGTCATTGTAGTGGGGGATTTCAACATTCAAGTGGACATCGAAAATGATTGCCTCAATGTAGCCTTTAGTAATATCTTAGACTCAATTGGTTTTACTCAAAGAATACATAGCTCCACCCACTCCTGCCATCATACATTAGACCTTGTTCTGACTTATGGCATTGAGTGTGAGGAAATAACAATCTTTCCACATAATCCAGTCCTCTCGGACCACTTTCTGATAACCTTTGAGTTTTTTATAACTGAGTTCTTGAGACATGAAAGTAAATTTCATTATAGTCGGTCTCTATCTGACAACGCAGTTGCATACTTTAAATCAACTGTTCCATCTTTGCTATATTGGGGAAAGCTAAGTATATTTTTAATCAGAAAGCACTTTATATATTATACAATACGATGCTACTGCCATATTTGAGCTATTGTGTAGAGGTCTGGGGAAACACGTACAAAAGTAATTTACAAACAATAATGACAATGCAGAAAAGGGCTATCAGATTAATAACAAATGCAGGATATTTGGATCACACAAATGAACTTTTTATTAAAACACGGACAATGAAGTTCCAGGACTTGGTTAAATACAAAACAGCACAAATAATGTATAAAGTAAGAAAAAAATTAATGCCTGATAAAATACAGAAACTGTTCACAGAGAGAGAAGGAGGATATAACCTGAGAGGGACACTAAACTTAAAGATACATAAGTTTAGAACAACATTAAAACAGATGTGTATCACAATAATAGGGGTTAAATTATGGAACAATTTAGAAGAGGAAATCAAAGTAAGTACAAATATAAATGTGTTTACAATGAATTATAAAAAACATATTCTGAACAAGTATATAGTGGAAAATAGATGATTTATGTGGGTGTCCTTTATTCCAAGGAAAAGTAAATTGTATCAATTGTAAAAAGATGTTTTTTTTCTTTTTTTGTTTTTTTTCCATGTAATTTGGTGGTTTTTTTTGGTGACTTGTACCATTTTGTTTGTTTTAATGTAGGTTTTGTGTTAGATTTAAGTAAACAAGTAAAATGACTTGTATAAAGGGGTAGGGATATATAAGTTTCCACTTCAGCCTACTCCTTTTCAAACACAGATGGGATGATATGTATTTTTTCTGTTTGTGGTACTTTTTAAAAAATTATGTATGTTTTCTTTGTTTGAAATAATCTAAACTAAATCTTTACTGTCCTCAGCATCTCAGAGGAACGTAGCAGAGGGCAATATTTTCAGTTCTAGCCCCTCACAAATTGATGCCTTAGTTCATCATGTGAATTCCTCTTTACGTGTGGCATTAGATGATGTTGCCCCTTTAAAAAAGAAGGTAATTAGGGACAGGAAGTTGGCTCCCTGGTTTAACTCTCATCTACGAGCCTTAAAACAAAACTCTAGGAAATTGGAGAGAACTTGGCGCTCTACGCACCATGAGGAGGCCTACCTGTCCTGGAAAAATAGTCTTGTGCTTTATAAAAATAAGCTTCAACAAACTAGAACTGCTTATTTTTCAGCATTAATTGAGGAGAATAAGCATAATCCTAAATTTCTTTTCAGTACAGTTGCTAAACTTACACAGAATCATAGCTCTGAGCCATCTATTCCCTTAGCCCTCAGCAGCAATGACTTCATGGGATTTTTTACAAGTAAAATTAATTCTATTAGAAACAAAATCTTTAGCATCCTCCCTAATGCAATTTCTTCTTCCTCAGTAAGTGAGGCAGCATCAGAGGTGACTCTAGAACCTCATCTGTGCTTGAACCGTTTTGGTCCAGTTGAGCTTTCAGAGTTATCAAAAATATTAGCTTCATCTAAACCTTCAACTTGCATTTTGGATCCAATCCCAACCAAATTATTTAAAGATGCATTTCCTTTGGTTACTGCCCCCATTCTAGATATAATCAATCTGTCCTTAGTAAATGGGTATGTACCACAAGATTTTAAGGTGGCTGTAATCAAACCTTCACTTAAGAAGCCTTCTCTGGATCCAGATGACCCAATGAATTATAGACCAATATCTAACCTTCTATTTTTATCCAAAGTCCTGGAGAAAATAGTGGCCATCCAAGTATGTCAGCATTTAAACACTAATGCTCTGTTTGGGGAATTTCAGTCTGGTTTTAGAGAGTATCACAGCACTGAAACTGCTTTAGTGAGAGTTACAAATGATATTCTCATGGCCTCAGATAAGAATCTTGTGTCTGTTCTAGTCTTGTTAGATTTCAGTGCTGCCTTTGACACAGTTGATCACAATGTTCTTTTAGAAAGGCTTGAATATGTTGTAGGGATCAAAGGAACAGTGTTAGGCTGGTTTAAATCCTACCTGTCTGACAGATTTCATTTTGTAAATGTACATGACAAATCTTCTTCATACTCCAGGGTTACTTGCGGAGTACCACAGGGTTCAGTGCTTGGACCAATTCTTTTTACTATATATATGCTCCCAATTGGTAAAATCATTAGACAGCATGGGATAAACTTCCACTGTTATGCTGACGATACTCAGTTATATTTATCCATTAACCCTGATGAACCTAATCGGTTGGGTAGATTACAGGCTTGTCTTGAGGACATAAAAAATTGGATGACTCTTAACTTCTTGCTTTTAAATCAAGACAAGACGGAAGTTCTCATCTTTGGACCAGAAATCCAGAAAAGGAAATTGCTTAGCCAATGGCCTGACCTGAATGGCATTACATTAATCTCCGAGAACAAAGCAAGGAACCTTGGTGTTATCTTTGACCAGGACATGTCATTCAAATCCCAGGTTTCACAAGTTTGTCGGATTTCCTTTTTCCACCTTTGGAATATTGCTAAGATTAGAAGCATACTTTCCAGGAGTGATGCTGAAAAACTAGTTCATGCATTTATTACATCAAGACTGGATTACTGTAATTCATTATACTCAGGAAGTCCACAGAATGTAGTTAAAAGTCTTCAGCTTGTCCAAAATGCTGCAGCTAGAGTTCTGATGAGAATTAAAAAGAGAGATCACATCTCTCCTGTCTTAGCTTCCCTACATTGGCTACCTGTTAAATTCAGAATAGATTTTAAGATCCTTCTTCTCACATATAAAGCTCTTAATAATCAAGGTCCATCATACATCAGTAATCTGATTGTTCCATATGTTCCTAACCGAGCACTTCGCTCTCAGACTGCAGGTCTACTGGTGGTTCCAAGAATATCTAAACTTAGGATGGGAGGCAGATCTTTTAGTTATCACGCTCCTCTCCTGTGGAACCAGCTCCCAGCTTTAGTCCGTGAGGCAGACACTTTGTCTACTTTTAAGACTAGGCTTAAAACATTTTTATTTGATAGGGCCTATGGCTAAAATCTGATGTTAGCCTAGATCTGGACAAGTGGGGGATTACAGGGAGGTGGAGTGTACAGTCGGTAAAGACGGCTCTCCCTTGCCCTGCCTCCAACATGCCTACATCTAAATAGGATAGATTATCCAGAGTTAACTCTGTAGTTATGCTGCTATAGGCTTAGACTGCTGGAGGACACACTGACCACTTTTCACACTCTACTGCTTTATTCTACAGTCTGCTCTTTAACTGTATTATTTTGTGCAATTTCAGTTGTTAACTTTATTTTCTCTCTAAGTGTTTTTCTCCCCAGAAGAAGCTACAATGACGTTCTGCTGAGCTGTGGTGGCCTCGTGGAGGGGGCCATCGTCTAGCACACTGCTGCTAACCACTAATACATTCTCTCTCTCCTGATAATAACTTTATGTTTTCATTGACTTTTGATGTGCTAATACTAGTTTATCCGTTTAATTATAGATCCACTAGGATAAATACAATAAAGTTTATCTTTCACCAAATACAATATTTACTAAGACATCACAATATAACTATAGACACATTACTTGTCTGTGTGTGTGTGTGTGTGTGTGTGTGTGTGTGTGTGTGTGTGTGTTTGTGTGTGTTTGTGTCTTTGTCTGTCTGTGTGTGTGTGTGTGTGTGTTTGTGTCTGTGTGTGTCTGTGTCTGTGTGTGTGTCTTTGTCTGCCTGCTCTGTCTTCTCGATCCCCAGTGAGTCGTGGAGGATGGCTGCTTATACTGAGCCAGGATTCTCTGGAGGTTTCTTCCTGTTAAAAGGGAGTTTTCCTCTCCACTGTCGCTGCATGCTTGCTTAGTATGAGGATTGCTGTATAGTCACTGACACTAGTCAGTGACTTGATGCAATTTGCTGGGTTCCTTATATAGGAAACATTATTTCTGATTGGCTTAATGAACTGACCTGAATTGGAATGTTTATTATGTGAAGTGCCTTGAGACGACTCTTGTCGTGATTCGGCGCTATATAAATAAACTTGAATTGAATTTAATTGAATGACGGCAAATCAGACCAAACCATTTTCTTTACGTCATCAGCATGAAACGATTTTTTCCCTGTTCAGAATGAAATAAACCATTTGTAAACATTGTCCCAAAATATAAGTTGGAATTTATTTTTCTAAGCTTCATAGTTTTTTTTTTCGATTTTGATTAACCTCTTGAACCCTATGGGCCATTTTTCGGATTTTTTTTTTTAAAAGATGTGCCCAAAATGATTTGAGTATATCTCATGAACTACAAGGATTATTTGAGCTGTTTTGGTATCAAAATAAATGTAAGACACTAAAGTTTACTCTAAAATTTTAAAAAGCATCACTTTTGTCACTGATTGAGAGTAACAGAATCTGGAACACAGCAGAAATGAGAAAAAAATCTGTTCCGCCTAAAAAAAAAATCCATTTTATGGTGTTAAAATTCCTTCTAAAATACCTAGTTGCCGCCTAAAACATCTAGAAATCCACAGAATAGGGTCTGAACATTTGCTGACCCAAAAAATCATGACAAGAAAAGGAAGCATAGAAAAGTTAGAGAGGTTTTAGTTGATAGAAATCCAGGCGGACCTCTCTTGGACCATTTTGGGCACCTTTTGGCACAGTTTGTGCCGTTGGGAAATTTTCAGGTTTTTTCTTTAGGTTCTTTTTCCCCTCTTTTTTAACAGCTCCTCTCGTCAATAAACGCTAGTGAGAGAGTGTTGGCGCTGCACAGCTTTTCCTTTTCTCTCTAATTCATATAAGAACATCCTGCACCCACATAAGGGGATGACCATAATTCCCCCTTATACTTTCACTAGGGGGTGCTACTGGACTTAAATAAACATCTTAGTGTGTGTGTGTGTGTGTGTGTGTGTGTGTGTGTGTGTGTGTGTGTGTGTGTGTGTGTGTGTGTGTGTGTGTGTGTGTGTGTACCATGCTGGTCTACGTAGCAGCAGAGGGATCACTCAGTAAACTAAATAGTTTATTTTCTTTCACGGTTTAATGCTCCAACTTAAAATATAATAGAACTGATCCTGTTTAAATGAAAACTTCATGTTAAGGAGTAACTGAGGCATCATGGACTAAAACGTGGTGCAGCTGTCAACTCTGCTGCATCAGCTTGATAACGCAACGTCAACCTGCAAGACTCTGAAGAATATCATCTTCACTTTGTTGAATTTATGACACGAAGATTTAAGGCAAAGGGAAGCTCCAACCTGCAACTAGCGCAAAGTACCTAATAAAATGGCCAGTGGGTGCATTGTAAAATGCATTAGGCAGTGTTGACTGACATGTTCAGAGATCCTAGGCACATGGTAACAGTAAAATGTCCCGTAAATCATCGACACGGGACTCGCCCAAAGGAGAAGTGCTGCAGCAAGTTCAGTTTAATGCAATCACAGCGTGGTCCAAGGTGGAAATCAGCAGAATATCTAGACTTTATTCACGTGTTGAACCAAAAACAGTTTTCTAATTTTTCATATTGTCATTCTGAAAAGTTCCACACCTGACACGATCTCCGTCATACTTTTGGGTGGCACGTTGTATACTTACAGAAAATAAGAGTCCTCTGCTTTTTTCAGGAAGGATTTGAAGCTAAATGTTCTTTAATTTGTGAGTTTTAAAAATGATTGTTTATATCAGTGCTGCCTGAACTTCCTGTTCGCCCTTTCAGGACTTGCCAATGCCGTAATTCACAATCACTTCCAGTCATTATAACCTCACAATGACCACAAATCTCCCTTAACAACATGTCACAATAAATGAGTTGCTGTAATGTTCTTCACTCATCTTCTTTATCTTTTGACTGGAATAGATGCGTTTTTTTTCCTGAAATAGCTCCTTCTCTGATTTTTGGATCGGACTGAAAACATTTGT